ATACAGATAAATATATATCTATTCTTTTACAGATTCTTTTCACTTATAGGTTACTACAAAATATTGAGTAGAGTTCCCTGTGCTATACAGTAGGTCCTTGTAGGTTATCTGTTTTATAAACAGTAGTGTGTACATGTTAAAGTAAAATTCTTAGAAGTTGAATTGCTAGATCTTACATATGCCTATTTTTAAGGTCTTTGATACCTATTACCCAATTCCTCTACGGGAAGTTTTTATTTTGTTAAACTAGTTTTCCACCTGCATAGTCAGAGGGTGCCCATTTCTGGCAGCCTTGAAAACACTGACTATTAATACTTTTAAATACCAGTTGTATAGGTGAAAATTGTTACCCGTTGATTTTTTTTTTTTTTTTTTTGCGGTACGCGGGCCTCTCACTGTTGTGGCCTCTCCCGTTGCGGAGCACAGGCTCCAGACGCGCAGGCTCAGCGGCCATGGCTCACGGGCCCAGCCGCTCCGCAGCATGTGGGATCTTCCCAGACCGGGACACGAACCCGCGTCCCCTGCATTGGCAGGCGGGCTCTCAACCACTGTGCCACCAGGGAAGCCCCCGTTGAATTTTTTATTGGCAACACATTCTCCTAGAAAATTAAAACAAAAACCCTTTATTTAACCAAATAGGATTTCTACAGTAATCTCAGGTTTATCAATCCCATTGTAATCACAAATTTTTGCTTAAATCATAATTTAGACATATTGACACACTTAGCTGCACTGTCTCTTCATGCTTCTCTTTTACCTTCCTCTTCATCAACTCTGGACTTTCTGGCTTGGAACTCCTACATAAGGAGTGTGTATGTGTGTTTGTCAGGGGAGGGTTATTTCCCCCCAAAACCTTGTGTTTTGGAACTAAAAAGAAGACTGTATTCTCCTTAGGAAAACCCACATTTCTACTTGTCTTCATTTCTCTACCGTTCTCCACCCGCTGTTATTCACCTCATTTCCCAATTAACCCAGGCATCCTTGATTCTGCGGGTAAAAGGCGAAACCGAGCGCTATGCAGACATTATATAATACCCCCATGAGGGCGTCAGTATTTGACAGCCTTCAATAGGTTAATTTTTCAAAGTGGTAAGCTGATATTTCTGTATAAAATGCACATCTGCAGAGTAAATGGTATTAAGTGTTGGTGAATTATGGTCCCAGCCTAGGGGTCACTTGGGCTTCAATGCTACAAGCACCTTAATGCTTTTTTGAATGAAAGCTCCACTAATTGCTTCCATATGATTCTCCCCTGGCCCCTCCCCCCAGCCTCCATCACTGTCCCCAGCCCCTCCCCAATTGTGCCCTGGCACAGGGATAATGAGCTATGAAATTGTACCGTATTGATTGGGGGCTGATGTTAGAACAGAACCTGCCATTTTTCCCCAGGATTTGCTTTGACTCTTGAAGTTCAGACAGCGTTGGGGTCAAGTCCCAGAAGCCCTAAGTCCTCCCCACTCCCCATTCCTTTAAACCACTGGGAGTGCACACTTAGACTGAAAAGGGGCAGACAGATCATTAATTAGCTTGGCTGCTAGGCTGTCTGGTGGGAGTGGGATGTGAGGGCATTTTAAAAGGTGTCCTGGCATGTTGATGGGGTGGAGGAAGAGGGAAGGAGTTGTAAGCATCCCCCAAATACACCGTCAGAAGGGTCGCCTGGGTGAGGCAAGCCAGGCCAGAAATTAGTCTTCTGAGGTTTGCCTGCTCCCCACCCAGATGGCCACGGAAAGCCTGAACCCTAACGGGTTGGAAGGGGCACTGAGAGACAACTCAGGCTGGCCCCCCAGATGGAGGTTAAAGTGAAAAACATTGTCAATTTGGCTAAAAGAAGGTCAGCAGGAGACCTGGCAATGCACAAACATGGAGAAGCCCTGCCTGTATCATGTACCTATTGCACGTCAGGCGCTTCCGTGAGCAGCCCTGACTCTACCCAACTGGCTCCTTTGGGAGGCAGGTATGAACACACCCACCCACAGCAAGCTGCTTGCCCAAGATTACCACTGGATCTCAGAGACAGTGGATCTGGACTCACATTCAGATCTGCCCGGCTTCAAACCTGTGCTCTCCAGCACCATAGCCTATGGTATGTGTCCTGGAGTCACGCAGACCTGGGCTGGAGGCGGACTATTTCACTCACAAACTGGATAACCCAGAGACACTCAATTATCACATCTGTAAAGTGAGATGATCTTTCTATACGCCATTTACAGCTGTGGTGAGAATAAAAGGATGCATGTGAAGTGGTCAGCAGAGTGTACTGCCTGTGTAGCATTCTAAAGATGTTAGTTATTATTACTCATTTTTATTGTTATTACTATTGTTATGTTTCCTCCTAGGAGCCATGCATCCCCACAGCCTCATACTCCTCGACAGTCAGGTCTCGAGCTGCCCATTCCAGCCTCCTCTGACTTTAAGCCCAGCCTCTTCTCCTGATCCAGCTTGAGGTGATTTGGCATCTCCTGAGTTCCTATAATGCTACCTGCCCTAGTCTCTTGGCAGTGATACACGCTGCCCTCTCTCTTGAATTGTATTATTGAACTAGTATTTTTATTTTACGGCTGTTTAATTTCCCCCGTGTTTATGGCCTATTCTCCCCCAACTGAATTGTGAGGATCTCTGAACAGCAAAGGTCTCACATTTCTTTGAGTTTCTCAGTGCACCTGGTTTGAAGCCATGCCAGTATTGCTGCTCAAAAAAAATCTGAGAAGTCTATCTTAGTAAATAGCAATTTGATAAAGAGTATCAAATCTTGTGTTAGATACCCTTAAAGAAATTGGGTGGGGTTTGTTTTTATTTCCCACATCACAGGTCTGGTCTGTAGTCCATACTCTGGCCACTGCTGTCCCTACTGGCATCTAAATGTGTCTGTATTTGGTAGTGGGATTCTCTTTTGAAATAATTAGATGTTTTTAAAAAACAAAACAGAAAACCTAGGTAAATGAAAGAGCTGAAAAAATGGATTCAGCCAAACTAAACTGTATTTGTTTTTCAAGGTTCCGTTCTCCCCACCATGGATTTGGCTTTGTAGCCAAACAAATAGTTGACATTTATGTATCTTTATGCAACACAAAGTCATGCTGAATGTGTTTACAGTTAGGGTTCTGTCAGACATGCTTTACAGAAACGCAACACAAACCAGTTTGAGAAAAAAAGGATGTTAGGGATGAATCAAAAAAACAGAACAGCTTTCAGAGATCTTAAAAACTAGAATCTGAACCATCTTCCTCTTCCTGCCTCCCTACTTCTTATTCCACCCTCCCTGGTGATAGATTTATTCTGTCTTCTTTCAGCTCTGAGATTATATTTTTAATGCTCCACAGTCAAATGAGAAGGAAGTTTTCTCCAGCAGAAAACTACCGGGAAGAATTCTCATAGAAACAGGAATAGGGATATTATAATTAGCATAGTCTGGGTCCCACGTCCCCCCCGACTCCCACCATTTCTATAGTCAGAATGGCCACTCTTCAACAATCTTCAGACAGCTAGCATGAAAGGTTAAACACCTGAATATTGCCAGATTGTTTTGTCTTGTGCTCACTCATCACGCTAATATTTAACAAGCATTTGTTGAGCACCAAAGAGCAAATGAACAGGGGAGACGGTTATACCCTTATGTAGCTATTATTCAAGTGGGGAAGAGTGGGGACTAAATAATTGCTAACAACAGGTGAGGTCAGCACTATGGAAGGAAAAGTTTGGGTGGTCCAGGAGCACCAACCCTAGGGAAGAGATGGATTCTAGGACCAGGATGAAGTGAAGTGAGTTATAGTTGGCCTGGTGAAGAGGAAGGGTGAGAACATTTGGCACCTGTGAGCATGCCTCGAGGAGAAAAAGCAAGCCTAGTTTGAGAAGCTTAAAGCAAAAGGCTCAGGATGGCTGACCCCTGGGAGGCTTGCTCTCTTCCTCCAGGACCCCTCACACAGGGTCTTTACTAGAAACCTTGAGAGCTGTGCTCAGTCCAGCTCCTTGGTCAACCTTTCTAGGTGTGTGTGTGTGTGTGTGTGTGTGTACTGAATCCCTGAGTTTAGAAGGTGGAAAACCTTGCTTCCTACCATTCTCATCACAAAAGGCAACTCACTGTTCACTTGAATGTGCGTTGGGCAGTGGAGGTCTCTGAAACCCGCTTAGACAGCTGAGTTTGGAGAATGTGGAGGCCAAGTTATTCTTTTCCACATCACCTTTTCATTTGTTCATGGAGCCTCTCTGTCGCAGCTGAAAATCACCTCATACTTGTCTTAACCACATATTACCCTATTTACATCTCTCTTGTGATATGCACTCTCTACCTAATGTTACAGCTATGTGTGTTCCCATCTTCTCTCTACAACTGCTCCCTGAGAACAGGATCAAGTTGGTTACCTATGTGTCCTCCGTGTCTCTCTTTACAGGGCATTTCCCAGAGTAGGTGCTCACAATGAAATTAATGCTTATATGGTAAAAGTTGTATTCCAGGTACTATTCTTTTTAATCCTCAGAGCAATTCTATCAGGTAAGCAATTTATCAACATTTTTCAAATGAGGAAACTGAGGCACAGAAAGATTAAGTAATGAGTGAAATGTCACAGAGCTTATAAATGCTGGAGTCAAAACTTGAACCCAAGAAATCTGGTACCAGAGTCCAAGACCTTATCTATTATGCTAAACTGTCTATTGAGTGCTAAATGAATTCATGAATGGATGGATGGATAGATGGATGAGTAAGAACCAAACTGGAGGCACAGAACCCTGGAAATGGAGCATTCAGGAAGAACTCTCAGTAGAAATACACAGGACTGAGCATATCAAAAAACCACAGAGGTAAAGCTGGTCAGTTAACCATGGTTGTTGTAACGCCCAGTGGAAAGCTTGGAAGTACTTTCCCTGGGGTGCATACCAGCTCCTCAAATCTACATACAGACCTTACCAAACTGTAAGCATGGGGTTTGCAATGATTTAGCGTAATCTTGAATTCTACTAAACTCCAAATAATTTTGTAATTCCCCTTTCTGCTTATTTCCCCAGATTCCTCAAATCATTCTTCAGCACTCACCTTTGCCATGTAAGCATCACAAAATAATCATAAATATTTGAAAGATGCCTTAGAGGGGAACTCATTTGCCTAGGAAGTTAGAGGTCTAGTTTAGGGGTCTTTTCCATTTTGTTGAAAATAAATGATGTTTCTGAAGAGTTTGTTGTATAACATTCCAATATCTATTTAATAATTATTCAGCTGGGAAGGATGAGCTGGGAGGATGATGGTTACATAGAACTGATGGATATTTTATTTGAGATGTAATATAGAATCATCCCAGCCATGGATCTTTGCTCCAGAATCCCTCTAAAATCTCAGCTATCTCTGGATATTGCCTCTGAAGTTTCTCTAGCTCCAGATCACTCTGAGTATTCTGGTTTCCAACCTCTGCCACGGGAGACATAGGGAGACGTCCAGAGTGTTTACAGACACTGTGTGTCAGCCATTGCTGGGAATGGCCTTACTTCCCCTAACTATCAAGCTCCACTTATCAAGCTGTAAGGGCCAGATTATTTATCAAATCAATTCCCATGTCTTGTACGTGAGTCCCAGATCTGTATCACCGAGTCTGTACACCTATCCCTGACAGAGTGGCAAAAGAATTTATGATGTTTCTGACTAGGGAGAATGAGAGGAAACAAGGAATTTTAACTAAAACTATCTAAGCACTTCTGTTGGAAGCTACTGACTCTTAAACAACTGGTGAAATAATTTAAGAAGTCAACCCTAAGAAAACGCATCTTGGAATAAAGCAGAAGTAGGAGCGGGAGGAAGGCTGCCAGGTCTACTGCTAGCAACACAATTCCATAGTCTGCATTTTATTACTAGACCCTGGGGGGGTTCTAGTTAAACTCACTAGAGCTAAAGGATTACAGACATTCCTACCTAACTTATGGCCCTGAAAACTGCACTAATTTGATTGAAAAAACACATTTTTGAGATAATTTACATGTTTTACCGTTAAACAGGCATTATAAACTTATAGACCATTGGCTTTTTTTTTGGTGGGGGGGGCTTTATTTATTTATTTATTTTTGGCGGAGTTGGGTCTTTGTTGCTGCACACGGGCTTTCTCTAGTTGCAGTGAGTGGGGGCTATTCTTCGCTGCGGTGCACGGGCTTCTCATTGCGGTGTCTTCTCTTGTTGCGGAGCATGGGCTCCAGGTGCGCGAGCTTCAGCAGTTGTGGCTCGCGGGCTCTAAAGCGCAGGCTCAGCAGCTGTGGCTCATGGGCCCAGCTGCTCCACGCCTGTGGAATCTTCCCAGACCAGGGATTGAACCCATGTCTCCTGCATTGGCAGGCAGATTCTTAACCATTGTGCCACCAGGGAAGCCCAGACCATTGGCTTTTATTATTTACTTCTTTATTCATTCATTTGTTTACTTTTAAGTGCCTTCCCATGTATATTATCCATTTTGCTATTGGAGAATGAATCTTTCTCTTATTTATTTGTAAATACTTTTTATGATTATTGTTTATTAACTACATACCTACTATGCATATAGTTTCCTGTGCCCCAAAATACCAGTCACATAGTTCATGTTTGATAAATGTCTGCTAGCTAAAGAAAAACAAACAAAAAAACAAACTAAAGTTTATGTTTTGGGGAGTATGGCAGAGACTGCTAGTTGTCAATACAGCAGTCTAAGCATAATGTAGCATGTCTTAGTTTGCTGCAGAAACAAGTGACTTCCAAAGCTCTGTGGCTTGTAATAAAAATGATTAATTCCTTAGTCACATACATATGGGCTCTGGTGTGAACTGGCTCTGTACCATGTCTTCATTTCAGGACCCACACTGAAAGAGCAGTCCCTATAGAGACCAGACGCCTCACGTGTTAGGGAAAGCACCTTATAGCATCTGCTTTAGAGTGTTACAGCATCTGCTCAAACAAAACATATGTCAGGTCAGCTGTAATGGTGCAGGGAAAACTCTGCAGGGCTGAGTCCAGTAGAGAGGAACAGTAAGTATTTAGAACAAATAAATACATTCTCCCTTTTTTTCTGCAGTAAATAGATCTCTGAGTTTTATCTGGGCACAAAACCTCCCTGCCAAAGACAACATGTGTCAACCACACTTGCAGTTAGGTGTGGCCATGCATTTCAGTTCCTCCAATGGAAGCCTAGTAAAAATGTACCCTTCAAGGCAAGGAGTTCTCCCTCCACTCTCTTTCTGCCTTCCTTATAACTAGAATACAATTCATTTTGATGAATGAATGAATTAATTTAATTAGTTTTGCTTTTATGGATGTTGCTTTTCGTGTCTTTGCCTAACCTAAGGTCACAAAGATTTTTTCCCTATGTTTTACAGCAAAAGTTTTATACTTTTAAATCATATCCAAAATACACAGTTATTTAATTTTTTATGTATGCTTTGAGGTAAGGATCTAAATTCATTCTTTTGCCTATGAATATCCAATTGTCCCAACATCATTTGATAAAAAGACTACTCTTTACTCATTTCATTGCTATAGAACCCTTGTCAAAAATCAACTCACTATAAATGTAAGAGTTTATTTATGGACCCTTAATTCTGCTCTATTGGTGGGTATCTGTTCCATTGGTATAATTGTATATCTTTATGCCAGTACCACTCTGTCTTAATTGCAGTGACACTATAGTAAGTGTTACAGTTTGGAATTATAGGTTCTGCCACTTTGATCTATTTGGCTATTCTGAATCCTTTGCTTGTCAATGTCTGTAGAAATCCTGTTGAAATTTTGATAAGGATTACATTGAATCTATAAATCAAGTGGAAGACTGTCATCTTAATAATATAGAATTTTACAGTCCATTAATATGGAATTTTGATTTCTGAATTTCAATAATTTTGATTTTTAAATTTCTCTCAGCAATGTTTTATAGTTGTAAGCATACAAATCTTGTTCTTCTTTTGTTAAATTAATTCCTAAGTAGTTCTGTCTTTTTTATTCTACTGTGAATAAAATTGGTCTTTTAATTTATTTTTGAATTGTCCATTACTAGTATATAGAAATACAACTGATTTTTATATATTGATCTTGCCTATAGTGACTATAGATATAGTGATTAATATATACTGTATTGTTTACTATTTTCCTATTTGTTACTCTTTTTTTCAAACTTTCACTCTTTTTCTGACTTCTCTGGTTTTATTTGAACTTTTTAAAAATTATTCTAATTTTTCTCTTATCTTAGCATATCGCTTAATTTTTTTAAAAAAATAAATCTTAAATTGCTCTAGAGTTTTCAATATACATTTACAATAGTATAAGTCCACTTCCTAATGACACTGTCCACTTTGTAGTGTGGGTATAATTGAGTATTCCTACTTATAATTGGTCTACTTATAATTGAGTATCCTACTGTTTCTTTTCATCCCTTATAACATTGCTGTCATTTATTTAACTTATATGTATGCCATAATCACTCTAGATTGTTGCTATTATTAATTTAAGCAAGCATTTATTAGACTAATAAGAATAAGTTAAATAGAAGATTTTATTTTGCCTTCATTTTCCTAGAATTCTCTTTGTGTAGATCCAAATTTCTGACCTATATCATTTTCCTTTCCTCTGAAGAACTTTTAATCATTCCTGAAAGGCAGGTCTACAGTTTAAATTCTTTCAACAGTTTAACTATTTCACTGCATGCTTTTCTTGCTAGCATGGTTTCTAAACAAAAAGTTCAATGAAACATTTAAACTCTTCTCCAAGGGTAAGTATGCCCACCCTTATCTATGGCTTCTTTGAAGATTTCTCCTTGTTTGTGGTTTGTGCAATTTGAATATTGTATGCGTAAGTGTACTTTATTTATTTATTTTTTTGGTATTTATCCAGCTTGATATTCTCTGAGTTTCCTGCATCTATGGCTTGATATCTATCATTAATTTTGGAAAATTCTCAGCCATTATAACTTCTCAATTCTTTTCTTCTCCTTCTGGTATTCCCATTACACAGATGTTACATATTTTTAATTGTCCCATAGTTCTTGGATTTTGCCTCTTTTAAAAAAATTTCTTTCTTGTTGATTATCAGTTTGGGAAGTTTCTATTGATATATCTTCAAGCTCACTGATTCTTTCCTAAAGGCATTGTTCATTTTTTTAGTGTTTTTGATTTCTAGCATTTCCTTTTGACACTTTCTTAGAGTATCCAGTTGTCTTTTTTACATCGCTCATCTGTTCTTGAATGTCACTTTTTCATCACTTTTTTCCTTAGAGTCCTTAACGTATGAATCATAGGTGTTTTAAGTTCTCCTTCTGATAACTTCAAAATCTCTGCCATATCTGTGTCTGGTTCTGATACTTGACCTAACTCTTCAAATTGTGTTTTTTGTCTTTTAGTGTACCTTGTAAATTTTTGTTGATTACTGGATGCAAATTATTGGGTAAAAGGAACTGAGGGAGATAGGCCTGCATTTGTGAGGTCTTATGTTTTGGAGGCTAGAAGTTAGTCTGTGTTAACTGTTTACTGTAGCTATAGGTGTCAGAGGCTAAACTTTTCTATGGTGTCCTTGTTTTTTTCTTTTTTTTTTTTTTTCCTTTTTATGTCTTTGGGATTTCCTGGGAACTTTTAAAAATATGTTCTGAGACTTGTACTTCTTTTATTTACAATACCTGTTACTATACTGGAACCCTACTGATATGGTAGTAAATGTGGGGAATGGGAAATTTTCTATAGTCCTGTGATTAGGCCTCAGTCTTTTAGTGAGCCTGTGGGCTTATTGTGATCTTCACAGTGTTTCTCAGTCTCTCTCCTCCTTCAGTGACACAGGGAAGCTGGAGAGGAATGCAGTTGGGTGTTTCTAGTTCCCCATGTGGAATGCTAGATTTGGCTTAAGTTAGGTATTTCCCTTTCCTTTGGTTGGTTAGGCTCTTGTAAAGCACAAGGTGGTTAGGCTCTGATGAAACAATTTCCCTTGAAGGCAGTCTTTTGATAAAGAAAACAGTATGCTCTGGGCTTATTTCAAAATGGTTACTTGTCTCTTGCTTCAGAAGGAAGCAGCGGGGGAATTTTTCTCAATTCTTCACCCTAACAGCCTGGTGGGGC